TTTAAATTGGTGGTGAGTTATTCAGTATTTGCTCACATTAAGTTATATTAATTAAAAATGAGATTTAAAGGTATAGTCTTTAAACTAATGAAGGATTTAAAAAGCCAAAGATAAAGGCCTCCCTATGTTGTTTCTTTATAAATTATGGTTAAAGATGAATTTAAGATAAAATAACAAAAATTTTTCTAACAAATTAAGCTGATTGTCCTATATGCCTAGGCTGGTTTTAGTAACTGAAGCTTGATGCTAATGAGCAAATGGCACAAGTACACTCTACATAAGGATCACCTTCATTCTCATCTATGAATAGAAAGATCCAAAGAATATACATATTGCAAATGAAAACAGTAAAAAATTAAAAACTCGTCTCTTCCATTAAAGGAAGCATTTGCTTACTAAGAGCCTTTAGCAAAATCTTCACATAAGTAAGATATATGTACATTCCACTATATACCTAAAGCTATGTTTAGATAAAGAATTATAAAAATATCATTCCTCTTCTTCTTGGCCATAAATTTATCCATACAAAGTTGAACTTAATGATATATTCCCTATAATATTGGATACACCTGGCTTTACAAATTGTATTTAACCAACGATTTTTTTTATCAGCTTAATACTAAACACAATAATGTTGTCTTTAATAATTCATCTCAATTGAATATCATGCCTCGGCATTTGGGATTTACTAAGTTTCTTGTATATTCATTTGTCTATTTCCATTTGAACTAAAATCATTTTTTTAAAAAATGTTATTGTGCTCCTGAGCCCTGGATAAATGGAACTGTTGAGAAGTGTGTACTAGGCTTAAATTAAAGGAACCTCTTAAAAGGAGTGTGGCTATCACATAAAGTATTTTGGGGAAAAAATAAAATTTTAATGTAAAAGAGAACAACTTTTAGAAAAAAGAGAGTCATAAAATCAAAATGCAGCACTCCTTTGACTTTGTCTAATTGATTGTGACTTGCTAAATGGAATTCTGTAGTCAAGGTGAATTAAAAATATATGGTACAGTAAATGTTCAGCTCCTTTTGCTTCTCTATATAATGAAAAGTATAAAATAAAAACAGAGGGGAAGTAGCGAAACAAGTGGCTGCTTGAAGAACTTCTAGTAAAGGACCCTGCCATTGAACACAACCTCAAAGCTAATTTCCATTTTATCAGGGATTTAGTGAGCATTGTACTTTCACTATCCCGTTCTGTCAATTGATTAGCTGAAAATATGATAATATCTTGCTTTTTACAAGAATAAACTCTCAAAGGGAGTTTTATGCCATAGAAAACGTAACTTTCCCTGCCTGAATGGTGAATTTACTCTACCTTTAGTTGGAGCACCAGGTCCATTCTGTATTTACCAAGAGGGTTTATGTCATTTAGAATCAAAGCAATGATGATATCAATCCCATTAGATTCATGAGTAGCAATACAGGTCTAGAAAACAAAATATTTGTAAAATAACATTTTATTCACAGCATAGCACTAGACATAATAGGGCATAAAATAACAGAATCACCTTAGTTTTTGATCTTTAAAACATAATTAAGATTTAACTTTGAGCATTTGACTTATTCTTTTGTGTAGGGTCTGACTATTAATTGATGAGTATTGATTAATTGGCTCTGTATGCAGAACACTGAGAGAGACATTGTGCGAAGCACATATCTTTTAAAATGAACCATTTTTATAGAATTCTGAAGACCACTGGTTAAGTTAAATACTCTGTCAGTCAATAAATTTTAACATACCCATTGACAGAGGAGTTCCTTAAACTTAGAATTTTAAGATTTGATCTACTCTAAAAGACTATTCTTATTTATGAAGGAGGCGTGTCCCTCATACCCATGATTTGTAAGTAAATTTTGTAGTACTGATGTAGCATTTTATAGTACTGATGTAGTGTTTAATTTAACTGCTACCTAATGCTAAATTGGTGACAAGTCATGCTGCTTTGCATGCTGGATGGCAGCAGAGACAAGTGATGTGAGAGTCTCCTAATGTTTTGGGGGACATGCTGTCAATAATGATGGTTGAGAGAAAAGTTGCATAGATTTTTTAAGCTTAGGTGATTCATAGAGGGATCATGATTGGGGAACATTTATAGAACATCCTGAGAGATAAATATCATTTTGAAGGTTAAGATCGACTGTGTTAGGGTTCTAACCTTAATTTTATAGAACTTAAAATCAGGAACTCATAAGGTGGATCTGTGGGACTGTGTGTTACAATGTAGCACCTTGTCAAGGGCTATGAAAATTAAATCAATTCACCTCACAAAGGGACAGTTAAACGAGAAAGAGTAAATTCAAGGCAACTTCAAAATGACTGCTTTTTCAGTGTGGGCCCCATTTCTTCCTTCATGCAAGGAAATTTTGACTCCCTTCACACAGAAGAAAGGTGTTTTCCATACATTTTCTACATTTCCTAAAGTTCTGTTCATTGAAATGTCTGCCAAACTTAAAGGGAATGTATTTGCGGATTGTCTCTAGAATTTGTTAGCAACCTTCTTTCCTTCCACACATTTTCAGAGCATGGGGAATTACATGTGGGGTTCATGTTAATCCATAATTAGCTTTTACTTTTACAGCTTATTTGATTTTAGTAAATTACCTTCAAAACTCAATTCCCTTCTCTTACAAGGCCAAAACTGGGGAACATTCTTATAGGCTTTCCATGAAATAGTAAAAGAGATATACGGTATACATATTTTCTATTATAGATGTATAAGATTTTATCAACAACAAAACCAAATCCCTGAATTTGTGTATTTTTCCTTAACTTTGAATCAACAGTTAGGTTTTCTTGTATCATTACCCTAGGAGAGTGAAATATAATCCAGAATAATACAAGGCAAAATCCACAAACTCATTTAGTATGTCATACGTATATTACAGAAGGGGAAGAATACCCCCATCATGAATTATCAAATTATTTATGCCAATAATTGTCATGTTTTTATTTTATGCACCTATGTATATATGTGTGTGTATATATACGTTCTTACATATACGTGTGCATGCATAGATATCCTATGCATGTGTATAAGTACCATATAAATTGCGATTAAAAAAAAGCAAACTTCTTTTTCACATTTCTTTTCTATGTCAACTATGATGTTTGGTCTCAATGGCTTCTTTAAAATTTATATCCAGAAATGTTTGTGACTTGAAAACTCCTTCCAGGATGGATCCATCCTGGGATGGCAGCTCCGTGATGACCTGAGTAGATGATGCACAGTGAGCTAGTCACCCTCAGGGCCACTTTCTTTCCCTTTACTGACCCAAGTATTCTTCTGCCTTCTACTCCCACAGTGTGTCCTTGATATCCAAGAAAATGGAATCAGAGACAAGTATTCTGCAAAATAGAGTTGAAACTGCATGCCAAAATGTAGTATACTGAAAAGACCACTCTATTTAGACTCAGAATCAAAAGCCCTGAGTTGTAAAAATGGCTCTACAGCTTACTGATTCTGTCACTCTGAGACTCTGGAAACTTAATCTTTGAGTCAGGACCTATTCATCAGCAAAACAGGAGCAATAACACCTACTTCATATGTTTATTGTGAGTATAAAAGAGATAATATACACTACCCACTGCAGCGGAGCCAAAGGAGTCAAAGAAAGTTCATTCCACAAATCCCGGAAAGAGTCACTAAAGATGAAAACTGAGTAATGGTCAAGAAACATATTTCACTCTTTTTAGTAAGTTTGATTTTTACCTTGAACATTTTCATGGGAATTTTTTTTTACGATAAAATTAAATAAAAATATGGCAGAGTATCTGCTAGTTTATAATTTGGCCTTGTAGGTTTTTTTAGGGAAGCAAAAATGTCTGGCAAAGAAAGAAAAGAGATCTTTTAAATGTACACAAAGGTTGGCTCCTTCTCCAACTTGGTTGCTTTGCTAATTAGTCATGAACGCTTCTGCGTGAAGAACTGCTTTCACGGTTACCTGATTTTCATGGCACGGGCCCTGGCAATACTCAGTCAAGCTCTCCAGGGTTTGGTTGACCAGAGCCACGTTCTTCTCATTGATGTAGAGACCCAGCAGGCCCAAGCCGCCAGTGGTACTTCCACAAATGCAGTCCAAAAACTGAAGGGTCTCACAGACGAGGTTGTAATTTGTTTTGTTGTTTTGATTCCTCAAGAAGTTCTGAAGGCAAAAGAAAAAGACACCCGAGGGGTTAAAAAAAAATCACGGTGCTAACTTCTCAGTTTTTTCAGTTCTCGATACATGTGTTTTTCTAACTTAAAAAAATCCCCATGGCAGTGTGGAATAGAATATCTTTTTATAAGAAAAGTCCCCACATTAATTAAACTTCTCCTTGGTTTGGGGAGGGGAGAAAGGCCGTTAGGTTTTTCTTCAAGCATATATATTTATCAGCATCATTTATAATAGATAATTCTCAATGTCATTAGCTTAAAACCATATAGAGAGGGTAAAAATAATAGGAAGTAGGAAAAAGAGAAGGAAAAGGGAAACTAGATAGAAAAGTTCATTAGGGAGAAAAGCAAATTTGCGAGTATAAATGATCCCTTATGAATAGTTCAGCTTCACTATTGATTGATTTTAAATAAAACAACCATTATGGAAGGCAATTTGGAATCATCTATCAAGATTTTCAGTTAACATACAGCTCGCTCCACCTCTAAAAAGTTGTTCTAGACATACATACACAAGTACACAAAGAGGTTTTGTAAAAGCATACTGCTTGTTACAGCAAAAAACAGAAACCATACAATACCTGGGGTAATGTCACCGGTTTAAGAGATAATAGTTACATACAAACAGTAAAATATTATAAAACTATAAAAATGAGATATTTCAATATGTACTGATAAACATAACCTAGCAATTAGTAATTTACTAAAAAGATACATTACTAAATGAAACATGTAAGTTTAGGAACACTTTTTAAAACTAAAAAAAAATGTTTACCTGCACAGATCAATATGCTTATATATACATAAAAATTTCTGGAAGAAAAAACAACCAGTTAACAATGATTTTCTCCAGGGAATAAACCTGGAGAAACAGTAAGCAGGGAGGGAAATTTTTTATTGTTTATTGTAATTTAGTACTTATTTTTATTAATTTATTATTTAAAGCATCCCACTCATTGAAGCCCCTCAAATTTGCCAATATGTTTGTCATTCAGTCTTACAGACATTGTCCTCATGTTAGCAACATGTACAAAATCTCACAGATGTTTTAGAAAGGTCTACTCATCGTATTCTTTAAGTAAAAAACTATACTTTAAATATTTCAAGTCAAGTCCATACAATATTTGATATTGTAAACATACCTTGATTTATCCAACTATCGTATTTTAAAAGATGTAAATAAATTTTACTTATTGAAATAAAAATTTAAATAATTTTTTTCAAAAGCATTTGTATTTAAATAACTAAGAATATATTTGTGCTAGTAAGTCATACCCCATCATTTAATTTTATTACATAGGTTTGGATTTGTAAATAATCTGTATGCCTATATTTTAAATTGGTGGTGAGTTATTCAGTATTTGCTCACATTAAGTTATATTAATTAAAAATGAGATTTAAAGGTATAGTCTTTAAACT